TCACTTTTACATGAGTTGTTTATAACTCTTATTAAAGTCAAATAAATAAACCCAATGTCTCACCACACCCAGTATCCTCTGGACTGACCTGACCAGCAGCGAGCCAGAACTCCTGCACAGACATTGACTGTCCAGTGCATGTGGAAACACAAGAAGAGCCAGCTTCCTAGGAACATCCCAGCTGGATTCATTTATCCCGTCAACAGATGATGTCAAACTTTCCTTTCTTTCCTGTAAAACCATAGAATGATCCAATGATCATGAAACGGGAGGATTTAGGCCTAGAGTATGATCTGATGATGCTGCCAATTCCCACACCAGACCGAACAGTGGCATTTTCCATAACTGCTGTGAAACATGGTTCAAAAATTGACACTTGGGTTACAGTCACATCATAAGTAAAAGTGCCAAATTCAGATTTTGTTGCTTAAATCTATTATTCTGTTATGTTTGCTCACATGACTTTTTAAATGTGCCACATAATAGACTAAAGAGTCTTTTATGTCTAAAACTCCCAACCCTGGTATTTATTATTGTGTTTTATTTATTATAATTCATTAATAATATATACATATTTATTTTGTTCATTTAAAAAAATCTATTTATTCATAATATAAAATTCTTAAAATATTAATAACTAATGCCTTGACATTGCACCACAGTCCTACATATTCTTTACAGTAAATCAAAGGCACAATTATTAAATTGCTTTAAAAATAAACAACAAAAATGCAATAATTCTGACCTGGCTGTTTTAACTGATATGTTATGGTGCAATTTTTTTTATAATTATCCAGTATTTGTTCAATTTTGAATAAGGCCCAGATTTTAATTGAAAATTGCATTTAATATGGTTTTTGCTGTTTGCACTGTCATCCATTAAACAGATCTGACATTAACAGTCTTATAATAGACCTTGATTACATATACTGGCACAACACTAACTACAGTTCATGAATGAATATCTCATTTTAATGTCCAATTAGCCATTATCTGTCTAACAACAGCTGGTTACTTAACAGGCATTAATTGTGGTGTTATATACTGTTGTGTTTTCATAACCTTACTGTGCTGTGGCTCATGGGATTGATGTCTATTTGAAATCCAGCCCAGAGTTTCATTGTATCTGACAGAGCAGCTCTGGTTCAGTCATTCTCTCTTATCTTTTTGGCTGTATACATAGGCGGAGCGTGTGTAAGGCTGGTAGACAGTGTAGACATCATCAGTGATTATAACGATAGTTTTTTTTGTGTGCGAGTGCTTAAACTCGCGATAGATCGAAGTTAGTGATAATGTTCTTCACTTGCTTCCTGTATATAATTTATTCGCTGTTTGAATAACTCTGGAAATTAAAACGTTATAATTAGCAACTTACATTTTTTATTAAATTGTCATCATGTTAAATACAAATTCAGTCCTATTAAAAATATTTTATTAGCCTACATGACACCCATATCAGGTACTTGCCTATAAAGACGAGTTTATGATGTTTGTAGTTAATAGATTGCACTAACATTAGGCTACTTTTAGCCTTACCCTGGAGTTGGTTCACCCTCCGCCTATGGCTGTATATTACACAGAATGAGTGCACCTTCTCCCCTGATTACACCTATGCTATCAAAAATATGTGCTTAACTCATTTACCGAAGCACTCGCAGCCTCTGTCTTTGTAATTACTGCAGATTAGGGACTAATATCTAATTATGCCTTAATATGCTTTAATGCATTTTTAATGACAGCTCGGTGTTCCAGTCAAACTCTCAGAGCGATTTGGGAGATGTGTCGAAGCGGTGAGAGAGAATCTGAACAGTCGTATGTTGGCGATGGAAAGGTTTATCTTACTATGCTCTGGTTCAAACAGAAACAAACTGACACTCAGTAGTAAGTAATTAGGTAACTTAATAGTTAGTTTTTTCATGCTCTCTTAAAGCTGTATTTGAGGCTGCCTGATTTGACAGAAGCATGTACAGCTGAATGAAAGTGTTTACAAATACTTGAAAAATCCTCTGAATTTCAGAATTAATGGACTCTAAAATGTGATCTGATGAAGACAGTGATAAATCAATACCAGTTCCAGAGGCTTCACTGTAGAAATCCATATCCCTTGAAGCTCTGATGAATGCATAATTTTTTAATCCTTTTGAAACAATCACGAAAATGGTTGCACAGCCATAATTATTATAAATTAAATTAAAATATAAATAAAAAATATACCTAAATGACATGCAAATTCTCAGATGCATGGCTTAATCTGAAGTGAAGATAATTCACAATAATTCAGAGACCATGGCTAAAGACATTTTTAGGCACAGGTTAGGGATCTAAAAGTCAGATAATTTGTTTTTGTTTACTGCAATGTTTTTTTAATATTTGTTTTTATTATGTTTTATTACATTGTTGTTTTTAATAATAATAAATTGTTGTTAAGAAGAAGAAACAATTTATCACCTAATATAATTCATTAGCTCAAAATTAGAGAATACTGCAGATGTACAGAATTCAACTGATGTACAAATGATCAAATAATCAGCATCTCAATCATTCAGATTTTATTTTTTATTTTTTAATTATCAACATGCAAATACACACCCTGTTATGGAAGAAAGCCACACCAGTAAGCACCTGTTTAATGTGCTTTTGCACGAGCAAGTTTGTTTTTAACACTGTTGTCTTATGATTTGGCACTGATCCATCTCTGTTTACTCTAATGAAATGTGTTATGCTCTGCATGGTATGACCAGAGATGGATGCAAATTGCATTGCGTCTCTAATTGGTAAGGCCTGATGTTTATGAACTGATTCCTGTTAATTAATACTAGATCGTCAAATCGAGCAGCTTGCATATTTTCTGCATAAATTATGGCTAATTGGATCCCGCATCACCCTAATGCAAATTGCATTCACAATCCTTCAAGTCAAACTAGAACAATTCAGAATGGACAGAACATTGCTTTAGCCAGCATTACACATGACAACTGAGATCAGCTGGCCAAATCATGATAAATCACCACAAGAGTTTTTCCATCAAGAGATCTTGGAATCTGAACATTTACGGGACGACGGCTCTTGATTAAAGGACTTCAGTTCATCAGCACTGTGTGATTATGCTACTGCAAAGAAAGCCAAGATTATAAACAAAGCAGACCAAATCACTCCATGAACTATTTGACTGCAAATTTTTATTTTGGTATACTGTATCTCCCACTATAATAAGAAGGACATTTTGGGACTAAAAGACTATTGACCCCGATTTCCAACTACAAATTTGAGTTATCCATAACATTTGTATTTAAAAAAATGAAAAATGGCAATTTTATGGTTGTCAAAAGAATAGATTATATATAAATGTAATAAGTTGTACATAATTATATTATAATTAGATATAATTATAGTATATATTGTTTTTTAAAAAGTACAAAAAAATCAATAAAGTGTAATAATATAAATTTTCTCTAAAAAATATAATAATATAATATAATACAATACCGGGCTGTAAGAGTAAACACCTCAAAAAATGTTAACATATTGGATTTTGATGCCATGCTTGCACAATGCAAGTAACTAATCTCTATAACGCTTACTGAAGCAGGAACACATTAAAACACAATACAATGTGAAAAACCGTGGTACAGTCATCCATCACTACAAGTTAGGTCACACAACATTAAAAAGACACATGCATACATAAATTCCCCAGACATGCATCCTCAATTACACAGGAACCCCTACTGAGCTAATAAACATCAGAATGCAATCATCTTGGCTGAGCCGGTAGCAATTAATGGAAGTGCCATTATGAATGTCTTAATGTAAGTGGAATGCATGCGTTAACGCTGGACTGTGGGTATTTGACCTTAGACAAGATCATTATAAGACTAACAGGGTGCCTGTGTTTACCTGTGATGTCGTGCTGCTTGAAGGAGTCACTGTAGACTTGGTGTTGATTGGGACAGTGTTTCTTCAGCCATTTACACACGTCCTGCTGGCTCCACAGCGCCACTGGTTTGGACAGCTTCACAGTTCCCGGCTAGGCAAGAAAAAAAAAATAACGAAAATGTAAATGTAGATTCCCCCCCCCCCTTTTTCCCCATCTTTTAAAGAAAGAGGGCAGCTAGAAATAAAAATTCTGTCATCATTTGCTCACCTTAATACCTGCATGACTTAATTTTTTTCGGTGGAAAACAAAGAAATTAGGATGTGTCGGTTGTTTTATTCCATGAAATTACAATAAAGCAGGATTGAAGCATTCAAGATTCAAAGTGTTCTGAAGCCATACGATACCTTGGTGAGAAAAACAAACTAAAATATGTGAAACTGAACCACTTCACAAGACAAGTCGAATGATTCATTTACCAATTATCTGGACATTAAGTTCAACTCAGTGATTATCATTGAATAAATAACTTCAGAAGACTTAGAAAACATGAGTACTTTTATTTGTGATCTTTTTCTAAGGCTTAAATGCTTCAGTTCCCATTCATTGTAATTGTGTTAAAAATAGCAACTGACACATTTTTAAATGTGTTCCATGGAAGTCATCTATTTTGGAACAAGGAGGGTGAATAAATAATAACAAAATTTCATTTTTGGGTGAACTATCCCTTTAATGACTGCCTCCTGTTTGAATGCCACTACTTGCCATTTGAGTGTGGTGTGAGCTGAATTCAGAACGTCTGGAAAAAGGGCCATTGTGACAGCGCTGTTGAGAGCTGAAGTGTAAGCTACCTTTAGGAAGCAGGCTAATTCAGCAGCGACAGAGCTCAGGCAAACAAACAGACGCTGAGTCAGTAGAAACAACCTCCAGTGGGGCGAGAGTCACAGCCCAACTAAAAACAGCACTGAGCTAATTAACCCAAGATATCTGCCACTGAGCTTCGAAGGCAGGCCCGCAGAGCCGTGATCGCTGACAGAGTCTTGCAAAAGGATTGATGAGGTTTAATATATAAAGGTACATTACACTGCATTGAAAGTGCAGTGTGAGTGGAGATACCGCCATGAGCTCCATTTCACGGAAGACTTTAAAAAGTTGTGAGGATGGAGTTCCTGCAGGTAGGAGACAAGTGGGAATGGCTTTGCAGGTGGATTCCCAGCCAATTAAATGGAGATGAGTGACAGATGAGATGTTGAGGGGAAGAAAAGTGAGCTTTTAAAATTATAACACACACACACAAACACAATGTCACAGTCATTCTGACCTTGGTGTAATCAGACAATTCAAGAATTTTCATGTTACTATAGCAACGAAGCATGATGACTTGAAGATATGAATGCACAGCACTAAATCATCATCTATGACAACAGGAGTCAGAACTCATATTAGAGGCATTGTAGACTTATGATTTTGGTTGATCAAATTAATGTATAAATGTATAAAAAAATATTTATTATTAAAGATGAAGGACAAAAATATATGGCTTCAATGAAAACAACAATGTATTTTTTTTATTTATGCATTTTATTGTTTGATGGAATGAACATTTGATTAATTTGTCTATTTCTAAAATATACGGCTCAGGAGTTTATATATGATTCTCAATAAATTCAACTAAAGTTTAATAAAACAGATGGACAGCTTAAATCAGAGCAACAAAGCAGACTCTGTGCATTAGAGTGCCATCTTGTGGTGAATAGCTTAACTATAAAAATATTTGTAATGCCAGTGAGTTCAATGTATGCAGTGAGAAAATATGCTAGCTTTTGTTCACACTTGCTGATGTAAAATGATATTGTCAATTCAGCTCTGTGATGTTGGTGGGTTTCCTCCGATGAACTGCTTGCTTTAGGTCCTTCCGCAAAATTTTAATTGGATTAAGGTCCGGAATTAGACTCAGTCATTCCAAAATGTTAACTTTGTTCTTCTTTAACCATTCTTTGGTAAAACAACTTGTGTTCTTGGGGTCGTTGTCTTGCTGCATGACCCACTTTCTCTTGAGACTCAGTGTTCGGACAGATGTCCTGACATTTTCCTTCAGAATGTGCGGGTATAATTCAAAATTCAGTGTTCCATCAATGATGGCAAGCCGTCCTGGCCAGGTGCGGCAAAACAGGCCCAAACCATGATACTACCACCACCATGTTTTGCAGATGGTATAAGGTTCTTATGCTGGAATGCAGTGTTTTCTTTCTCCAAACATAATGCTGCTCATTTAAACCAAAATGTTCTATTTTGGTCTCATCCATCCACAAAACATTTCTCCAGTATTCCTCTGGCTTGTCCACATGATCTTTAGCAAACTGCAAATGGGCAGCAATGTTCTTTTTGGAGATCAGTGGCTTTCTTCTTGCTACTCTGCCATGGACACCATGGTTGTTCAGTGTTCTTCTGATGATGGGCTCATAAACATTAACATTAGCCAATGTGAGAAAGGCCTTTAGTTGCTTAGAAGTTAGCCTGCAGTCCTTTGAACCCTAGTGGACTTTTACACATCTTTCTTTTAGAGTGATCTTTCTTGGTGGACCACTCCTGAGGAGGGTAGCAGTGGTCTTGAATTTCCTCCATTTGTACACAATCTGTCTGACTGTGGATTGGTGGAGTGCAAACACTTTACAGATGGCTTTGAAACCTTTTCTAGCCCGATGAACAACATCAACTCTTTTCCTGAGGTCCTCAGAGATCTCATTTGTTTGTGCCATGATACACTTCCACAAACATGATCAGACTTTGATAGATCCCTGTTCTTTAAATAAAACGGGGCACACACTGACACCTGATAGTCATCTCACTGATTAAAAACACCTCTGAACAGATGGACTTTAGTTTCACCTTCAAATTAATAGCTAATCCTATAGATTCACATACTTTTGCTGCTCACAGATATGTAATATTGGATCATTTTCCTGAATAAATAAATACATTTGTTTGACTGGGTTCAGGACTTGCATGAAATTTTTTTGGATTATATTTATGCAGAAATATAGACAATTCTAAAGGGTTCACAAACCTTTTGAGCAGCACTGTATATTTCTTTATGTAATATATAATTTGTCAGATGCCTGAAATGTTCCAGTGATTCTTGTCCTGCTGGACTGAAAAAAAGTCACAATTGACATGAAAACCAAGCTGTTCTTACAATATCGGGGAAGTCATGGCCTAATGGTTAGAGAGTCGGACTCATAACCCAAAGGTTGTGGGTTCGAGTCTCGTACCGGCAGGGATTGTAGGTGGGGGGAGTGAATGTACAGCGCTCTCTCCCACCTTCAATACCACGACTGAGGTGCCCTTGAGCAAGGCACCGAACCCCCAACTGCTCCCTGGGCGCCGCAGCAAAAAAATGGCTGCCCACTGCACCGGGTGTGTGTTCACGGTTTGTGTGTGTTCACTGCTCTGTGTGTGCACTTTAGATGGTGACCCATAAAAATCTTCCAGACCCCAAACTTTTAAGCAGTGGCGGCTCGTGGGTTTTAAAATAGAGGAGGCACACTAATTGTATTGGTCTGGGGATCCCTTTTGTATATACTGTTTGAATGACAGCTTGGTAAATCTGTTGGCAACCAAATATTCAATATCGCTAATTATCATAAGTACTTGGTACATTATCAGCGCAGCGCGAGACATTCAAACTAATAGCGTGTAATTTACTTCTCTATGATGTTTGATTGATATACCAGAATGGAGGCTAGCCTCCCCTACGAGGTTTCTTTTCTCAACACTCCTCAGCACTGAAAATGAACACTCGATGGTGATTGGCTCATTTTTTTTACCAACGGAGGCACGAGAGCTCAGCTCTCCCCTGGCCTCCCCCTCCCCTTCTCATTCACAATAGAAAAGTGGCGCTTTCCAACTTCAGTAACATGTTATGGTATTACAGCTGTGAAATTACAAACAAAAAATACACATTCTGAGACATGAACTGAAATGAATGGTGAATTTTATTAACATTAAATCGTCCTCCTCCCATTTTCACCTCAAAATTTCGGGGAAGCTGTGCCTCCCCTGCCTCCCCCGACAAGCCACCACTGCTTTTAAGTAGTGTAATTATAGATGTCATTAGCGTTTGAGATCACAGTAATAGTCTTGAATCTATTCTCACCCTGGAGAGCTCAGATTCTGAGACGGAGCGCTGAGGTGGAGATCGTCGCTGGAAACCAGGACTCTGGTCCTGAAAGCCTTGGCTGTCATCATCCAGTCCATGATCAACAGACACTTCCTCCAGGTGTGAAGTCACATCCTCTGCACACACCTGATGGTCAATCCCATTCTGGGTCAGATTGCAGTGAACAGCTGTGGAAATCAACAAGTCCAAAACTGGTTAGTGACCAATAATGACCATAAGGTGGAGCCATTGTATGTGGATGTGAACCTACTGTAACTGATGACTCTTTCCAGACTATATAACACCAAGACATTAAATGACTTACAGATGACGGTTTAACACATGATAGTCTCTTGTGAATAAGTTATTCACAGTAATTCAGTTTTACATCTTGCAGAATGTATCTTAGAGCTAAAATGTGTAATGTTTACGGTCTATGTAAAGTATTTTAACAATGTTAATTAAAACAACTATAAGTAACCAATAATGTGAGATATGCACAGGACTATCTGTCTGCCTGTTTAAACAATGACAGATGGAAGGAGTGTTCAGAACATGTTGCTTTAAAGAGCACCTCCTGTGATACAATTTTTTTTAATATGTAATGCAAAATACAAATTGAAAAGCCAAAATTGACGTTTTGCCAGGTCTCTGGAGAATATAAAGCATGAATTTCAGCACTTAAGTCACTCATTTAAAAAAGAACAAAAAAAATCACATTGTCCTCTAGATGGCATATGAGACAAAATTAAGCATCTGCCAAGGCCTGATAGACGCCACAGCATTTCTATAATGCCATCTGATTGAAATCAGATATGGCTCATGCACTTTTTAGGACAAACCATAATGTTAATGGACACAGAATATCTTGTGAGTTGTGAGGGCTTTGATATTTCTCAGAAAGAACAGAATCATTTGATTAATACTTACAGACCATAATAATATCAATAAATAAATAAAAATAATTCTATTAAAATTCAATCTTAAAAGCTGATCCTTACACAGCACATTTAAAGCTTTTTCTGTCATTGTGACAAACTGCAGAGCGTTAAAGAGTAAAACACTTGAATAAATCCGTCTGTCATGTTATCTGGAGTGAATTGAGGCCAAGCAAATGAGAGCCAGACGAAGCTTGTTCTGGCAGAAATTACACAAAGCTGAAGACTGAATTAAAAGCCCAAAATAAATCCGAGTGCTGCCTCATAGCATGGAAACATAGGGTGGTTAATGACTAACCACAGATCTCTAAGACAACAATATGTGATTAAGTTCAGAGTACATCAGACTACAAAATCATCACTGAAGCATCATATACGCCAACTGTTTAATGGTTAATAATTCAATAATTTCCATCCCATCTGTTTGCAAACAATAAACAAGCAGCTTACAACAGAACATTTAACTAGAACCTTATGTCTTTTATAAAACATGCATGAATCTTTTTCTGTGGAACACAAAAGGATATGTTCAAGCAGAATGTCCAAGCTGACCTTTTCCATACAATAAAAGTAAATGGTGAACACCTTAAATTTCAGTCTATTACTGACAAAAAGGAAAACAATTGATACATTGCATAATTGATAAGAACTACTTTTGCAATGCTTTATGGTGCTTTTATGTCCTTTTTGAAGCTTGTCTGCCCCTGGTTCCCACCCACTTTCATTTGATAGGCGAGAGCACAAGCGCAGCTCGGACATTCTGTGAAATCTCTTTCAGTGGAACAAAGAAAGTCATAGGCCCTACAGGTTTGGAAAGAGATGAAGGTGAGTCAATTATAAGAACTGCAATTTTTGGGTGAACTACTTGGATGATAAGCTCAACAAGCTCTCAATGCTAACACCATCCTGTGGCATTGCGTAACAGGTCATCAAATGAATCAAAGTCATGATGAAATCTGCTGAATACCATTAGTGAGAGAACGACTGATAACTTGAGCAGAACAAATTGCTCTGCTATTATTTACTGAGCCCCTGTTGCTGTGAATGCTGGGAATATTCATCCTGCCTTGATATGTCTGTTCCAAAACAGACAGAGCCAGTGCATCTACAAGAAAGAATCAGCCTTGAAACAAAAGCAACTTAGCATGCAAAGCACGAAGCGCTTCCTTCTCTCAGATTCTCTCCCTTTCTTATTTCTCCATGCTTCGCTCTCCATCTTTCTTAGGTTCCACAAAATTGAAACCATTCAGTCAGGTTGTCTAATGGCCAGGCGCTCCACAGGATAGATAAATTATACATTTAATTCATATCACAGACAGAGCATTGTCCTTGATTTGAGTGTCTGAAGGGCTGTTGTACATGGGGCGGGGGGGGAGGTGTGGGGGGGGATTTGGTTGATGTTGGGCCTTGAGGTGGGTAGGATGCTTTTTCTGCCTTAGCCTCTAAATATAGATCAAGACGTTCTTCCTCTCTTCTGTACGATGACATGCACACCGAGAGAAGAAGGAAGTGAGAGACAGAGACAGAGGGAGGGATGCTTCAGAGTTTAATCCAGCCAGCTGCTTTCCCCCCCTCATTTAAAGCACTAGTTCACCCAAAAATTTAAATGTTGTCAATATGTTCTCACCCTGATGTCGTTAAAGTTTTTTTTTTTTAATGGAATAAGAAATGAGAAATTTGAGGAATATTCACAGCAGCATTGTGATCATGTCTGCTCACATCATAAATCATAGTAATAATAAAAACACTGAAAACACTTGTGTGCTATATAGTTTGGGGCAAATAAGATAAAAAAAAAAAAAAAGAAATTAATGCTTTTATCCAGCCTATTCGTCAAAGAACCCTGAAAAAATGTTTCACAAATATTAATCAGCACAACTGTTTTCAACAGATAATAATAAGAAATATTTATTGAGCAGCAAATCAGCATATTAGAATGATTTCTGAAGGATCATGTGACACTGAAGACTGGAGTAATGATGCTGAAAATTCAGCTTTGCCATCATGGGAATAAATCACATTTTAAAATATTAAAATAGTAAAAAGTTATTTTAAATGAACTTAGATTAGTAATATACAATTATTACTATTTTTACTATATTTTGATCAAATAATTACACCTCTGTGAGCATGAGACTTTGGATTTTTTAAATGTTTTTCAACAAACTTCTGAATGGTAGTGTATGTTTTCTGAAGTGATACAATAGATTTGTTTGACAAACAGCCTTTTTGTAAACTTTTTATCAGAAATGCCCTCTGTTGTACCTTATGAAGCATAACATGATTTTGGATGTCAGTTACATTATCAACCATAACGGTTTTTTGCATTTCAAACATGATGCCTGATGTCATATTTGCAGTACATTTACATTTAGGCATTCAGCCCGTTTTGTCAATGCATTTCAGTGCAATGGAGTCCATTTGCTTGCATTGCTTTACCTGGAAATCAAACATATGACCTTGACTTACTGTTACAGAAATACTGAAATATTTAAAAGGAATGTTTGAAAGAAAAAAGTTTGTTTACAAATTTCAGTTTGTTCAGTATTGTTCATCACAATATTACACAGTTTCCGATTATTCAAAAGAAAACAAAGGGTTGATTTTTGTAGGGTTGTGATTTGTAAAAAATAAAAAAAAATTATCTACTGTCCCTTTAAACCAGGAGAAGGAAAGCAGTGTTGGTTTACAGAGTGAAGCATCTCCTATAATGCTAAAGGCCGGAAAGGATGAATGAACAGAGGATCGATTCAGCTCAATAGTGTCTGAACATCATGACTCGTATTACCGTTAGCCTCAGCAGTATAGTGAGCATATGATCTGCAGTGCTCTAGTGTGCTTCATGGTGGGTTAGGCTGTGCTTGTGATGGCTATGCAATCTGAAGTAAGGCTAGATGGCAGGTAATTTAAAAGTGGAGTGGTTTGTTTGTGCACTCAGCGTGTGACCCAGAAACAGAAGTGGAGTTAGTTGAGAATCAGCTGATTCAGAATATAAATGTACATCATTAGTTGGATGGGGTGAAGAAATAAAGCTTAGAGTCTACTTTGAAGGCAGTTCACTTTGAAAGTTGTCAACTGCTCTGACACACACACACCGTTGGAGGCTGGAAGCAATAACCTATTACAGTATATACATTATCCACAAGGAGAAACCAACAACTATGACCAAACCAAGCTCTTCTCCATGACTTAAGGACTAAACTGATGTGATTTAAATCCTTTCCAGGAAAAGCAGAGTTTTATGTATTAATTTCATTTAGAGGCTAATACCATTTGATAACACTTTTTTTACATTAACTCATTTACAAAGCACTTGTGAAAATATTAACTATGAATGTATTAAATCACTTTAAAACCAAACATACACTATACTGTTCATAAGTTTGGGGTTGGCAAGATTTAAGATTTTAAAAGAAGTCACCAAGGCTGCATTTCTTTGAACAAAAATAAAATAATATAGAAATACAATTTAGAACGACTATTCTATTTTGATATATTTTAAAATGTAATTTATTCCTGTGATGACAAAGCTGAATTTCCAGCATCTACTGATCAGAAATAATTCTAGCATTTCTTATTATCAATGTTGAACAGTTGTGCTGCATGCTTAATATTTTTGTGGAAATTGTTATACATTATTTTCAGGGTACTTTAATAAATACATAGTTTAAAAGAACAGCATTTATTTGGAATAAAAATCTTTTGTAACATTATAAATGTCTTTACTGTTAATTAGTGTATTCTTGCAGAATTTTTTTTTAAAGAAAGAAATTGCAACGTAAGGCAATTGAATAATACATATTTGTCTCAATAAATATATTTTATGCATAACAACAAAAGAAACTTTAAAATGCATTATGGCAACAGGTTAGGCAGGACCTATAGTACCATATAAACATTATGCTCATCATTACTACGGTGGCAGAGAGAGCTCAACGTGCTGCAAATAAATAAATAAAAACACATGCAAATAGAAAAAACCCCCATCAAATTAGGAAAACATCTTCATCAGTTTGACAACACATGCGCTGCAAATACGCACAACACAACCAAATACAGAAACGCGCTGCAAACACGCAAAGACCACATCGGAAATTAGGGCTGCACGATTAATCGAACGCGATTGTCATGCGCATTTTGATAGTAATGCCGGTTCTGTAATCAGCAGGAAATCATCATCACGTGCTTTCAGATGGAGCAGAATTTACTACACATAGCCGTAGTTCACTGACAAGTTACGCAAAAAAATC